GGCCAGATGAACTTTTTACAGGAAGCAAGCTTATCCACCAAGGATCCTGGGAAATCCAGCTATCTGGCACTTTAATCGGGAGCATTTTATCTCACGAAGGAAGTGACTCTCACTCCTGAAGAAAATTAGACTGTATAAATGCCTAGTGAACAGGATGTATAAAAAGTGATAACTCCAGTAATGCTAAGAAAGAAAAGATGCTGTCTATTGGTCATTAAAGCAGGCTTTTTTTTTTTTTTTTGCATGTTCCATATCATGTGATTATCAAGAATAATTAGGAGAAAACCTAGTCATGAATTTTGTTGTCCTTTTATCACAGTTTGGTTTTTCTCCTGTCATACTGGCTAACTGCAGAGGGTAATAATAAAGCATGCAAAAGAGTAAGGTCTTACTTTGCAAGACCTGCCTGTTTTTGTATGTTTTTATGTATTATTGCATGACATCAGGCAAGGTTTGTGTGTCAGCTGGAATGTAACTGCAAAGAACCTTGCTAATTAAGCAGACAACTGATCGGGGGCATAATCGCATATTTAAGAAGTATAATACACATGATCTCAGGAGAAAACCTTGTATTATCTAGGATGAAAAGGTAAATACATTCAAACACTGAGGTAAATCCAAATATAATAAAACTTTAAAAGGGTGTATGCAGGACAAAAATAACTGAATGACCGAACGACTTTCACTGTTTCTGTCCTACAGAGGAGACACCAGAATTCTTAGTTTTTTGCCCCAATGGCATTGGCGTAGGAACCCCAAAAAATCTGGGGGGGGGATAGCATTTTTACTCGCCGGGTATATTCTTATTCAGTAAACTAGGAGTTGTTTATCCCATTGTACAGCGCTACGGAATTTGCAGTTGCTATATAAATGATTAAATAATAACTTTAAAGGGTCACTTCAGGGAAGGGATTTTACTTACCTGGATACAGCGCCGGGATCCTCCTGATGCCGCGCCCCCTATTTCGTCAAAATGACTTAATAGGAGGGTGCGAGCAGGGAGCAATAAAACGCTTCTATTCAGAAGTGTAATTGCTCTCTGGTGCGCATGCGCAGCTTTGCCGCACATGCACAGATACTTCATAGGGCGGCATTCATGTCTCGACTAGGAAGCACCTTTAGTGGCCATCTGAGTGTCCACTGGAGGTATTCCTCATCAGTAATGTAAATACTGCCTTTTCATGAAATGGCTGTGCTTACATTAAAAAGCCTGCAAAGACATGCTATAGACACCAGAACTACTACGTTTAGCTGTTGTGGTTCTGGTGACTATAGTGTCCCTTGAATATAGAGAGGAAAAAAGAATCATCACAAATGTAAGAAATAAAATGTCTGTATCATTATTCTAAAAATTATTTTAAAAAAATAAAAAAATATGCACATTCCTAGCTTAATTTTTATCACGACATATGACACAACCATTTTGTACTTTGCAGATTACTTTTTATATTTTTTTATACATATACAGATTGTGTAATACTGCCTCTGTCTTAGGGTGACCACATTTCCTAACTGCCATTCAGTGACACTGTCAGAAATGCATTCCATACATTTTACTACCCGTCTCTACCCCTTCCATTTATATTAGAACCCCACCTACCCCTTTCATGAATATTAGAACCACCCCTACCCCTCCCATGAATATTAGAACCACCCCTACCCCTTCCATGCACAAAAGAACCCCACCTACCCCTTCCACGCATATTAACCCCACCTACCCCTTCCACGCATATTAACCCCCCAACCCCTTCCATGCATATTAGTACCCCCCTAACCCCTTCCATGCATATTAGTACCCACTAACCCCTTCCATGCATATTAGAACCCACCCTACCCCTTCCATTCATATTAGTACTCCCCTAACCCCTTCCAATAATTTTTCTACCTCCCCCCTCCTTCCATCCATATTAGTAGCCCCCCTAACCCTTTCCAATTATTTTTCTACCTACACCTCCCCCCATCCATATTAGTAGCCCCCCTAAACCCTTCCAATTATTTTTCTACCTTTGTCCCCCCTTTTACCTGACATAGCAGGGGGACCTCTGGACGTCTGTCAGGCGCAGTGTCAGACTGAGCGCCGGGTAGTCACGTGCAAGGATTTTTGCCGACCTAGGCAAAAGTAAAGTTTGCCGCCCCCCCTCCCCCATGTGACATCACAATGCCCCACACATATGATCTGCCATGTTAACTAACGCCAGTGCTGGAGTGCCGCCGTGTTTACATTAAAAGGCCTACAGGGACAGGCTATAGACACCAGAACCACTACATTAAGCTGCAGTGGTTCTGGGGACTATAGTGTTTCTTTAATGTGAGGTAAATTAGAGATTAGTGCCACAAATAATATACTAGATTGCCTACTTACAACCAGATGAGGATGATGATGGGCTCTAGCTGCAGTCTGGCTCCACTGGTCTGGTGTAGAACAGGCTCTCTGTAGGCTGTTTGTAACTGTGGTCACAAAAATCAATGTTCTGGGAGAACGGGAAGCAGCTCCATTTTTTGGGGGGCCCTTTACACAGCTCAAGGTCTGGGTCCCAGGGTCCACCTTCATGTTCCACCAATGAGTTTGTTCACAGGGGGTGGAGTGTGTAGGGGATGGCCTGATATGTGTGTAAGGAATGCATTGTGTGAATCTGTGTTTGTATGTGTAAGGGCTGCAAGGTGTGTTTCTGTGTGTGTACGGGATGCAGTGTGTGCGTCTGTAAGGGGTGCATTTAGTGTGTGTTTCTGTGTGTGTAAGGTTTGCATGATTGTGCGATTGTGTGTGTGTGAGATGGATGTCAATCTCTCTCCCTCCCTTGTCACTCTCTTTCTCCCCCTCCCTCCCTTGTCACTCGCCCCCCCCCTCGTCACTCTCTCTCTCCCCCTCCCTCCCTTGTCACGCTCGGGCGGCTGCAGCATGGGGGGGATTTCCCCATAACCTGTCCACCCCGCATGATTTGCTGGGGGGGATGCATCCCCCTCGGTTCCCATGCCCATGCCAAATGGTGAACTAGGATATTGCATATTTGTCCTGCATATTAAAAAATTGGGACAGATAGATATAAGGAGACACAATAATGTTTTTAGAAATATGCAGTAAATACGCATACAGTGTTGTGCAGAGGATCAGTATTGTGTGTGTAAATGCAGGAATGTTTTTCTGCGGAGATCCAGTGAATGAACCTTGATAGATTGCACACCACTTGCTGTCACTTGCCTTCACAGAGTGAGCTGCTTGGGAGCTGTGGTAAGTAGTGCTGGCTGAGGAACAGTTCTGTACAGTTGTGCGTCATCTGCTAGATCAGGTGTAGGCAACCTTCAGCACTCAGTTTGTTGGCAACTACATCTTCCATAATGCTGCCTAAGCATCAGTCGAGATGTAGTCCACATCTGGAATGCTAAAGGTTGCCTACCCCATCCTAGATTGTAAACTCACAGACAAAGTTATTTTCTCTTTTGTATCACTTATATAATTAACCAATTTTACTTTTGCACAAATTGTTAAGCGCTCTGGATAAAAGGGCTATACAAGAACTGTTAAAATAAATATTGCTGAATGTGTCTCTGGTTCATGAGCATCTTGGAGATCTGCTGCTGGCTTCCTTTGTATACAGCCCTTCTACACCTAACTGCCAGTCAGCTTGCTTAGGTAAACGTAAATTTATATATACATATATATATTATTCCCTTTATGGTTTACAATGCCCATTGCTAGACCAACAGGCCACATGGCATTGACCTATCAAAAGTAAAACACACTAACATTGTTTTTATTTTGCAGAACACCTTCAAGACTCCAGTCTACACCACATCCATGAGGAGGAATGCAATGGGAGTGGGTCTAGTTTTTGAAGCCGATCTCTTTACTACTAAACACATTTCGCACTGGGTGCTTCAAGGAGTTTGCCTCACTCTGAATTCTGATTAAATCCATCATTTTAGAATTATTTCGGACATGGAAACTGTAAAATAGTTCATATATAATTCAGATTTGTATATGTTTTATGTATTCAGAAATGTTGATCAATAAACTAAGTGTTTAAATTACTCTTACATGAATCCTACTCCGTTGCCAATCAGAAATGATCTAGTTCCGTAATATTTGGAAAGACTTGTTTTGAACTATTTGTTAATCTCCGCCATTCCCAGTTTAGCAAAGGGATTGCAAATGTTAAGCTAAAATAGACAAATGGAAATATTCTCCAGTTTAGCTATTGTCCAGGCTTGTATGTTTTTGGACTATACTAATGCTTTCCCTAATCATGACAGCAGTTCTCTGATGCATGTCTCATATAAGGTAAATTCAAAATGTACACATGAACAACTAGTTTACACTTTGTGTAAAGGGTTACATCGATGGTTGCATAACCTGAAAACACAAACATATTCACTTAAGATTATTCACTAAAGTGTGAATTGTCAGAAAAGCTCCCAGCTCTCATACTCGAACATACTGTGATACCATGCGTGCATGTACAGTGCCATCATGTTTGGCAAAATCATAAGCCCATTGCCACACATGCACATACGGTCACCAGTCGTCCTTTATAAGGAGCATAGGATTGGACTGGCATTCTGGAGGCACAACTCTAGGATGACATCAGGCAAGAAGGCTGCATAAGCGTCGAGGGAGGGCGAGTATTTATTTTAGTTTTAAAACTGCAGGCAGCGTAGCCCTGAAACTAACTAGGGACATTAAGACTGTAGTGTTAGGAATACAAATATGTATTCCTAACGCTTACTTTCTACATATACTTTTTGCTTAGTGGTTTTCGATTCTGACTTATTTAAGTTGTAGTCTCTAGCTACAAATATATTAAATGTTTAAAATCATAATTCACCCTTTGCAATATTTGTAACTGAAATCCTCAATATATGAAACATTTAACATTCAGGATTGAAACAATCTATTTTGTATGGGTACACTTAAAAGAAAAAGTGTTAAATTACAGTGGAACAAACACAGAGGCCAAATTCTTGTTTTGGATCAGAACTCTGATAGTTGCCTCAGTTTTTTGGGGGTTAACAAATAATTTCAGTGCCCTCTGTTTTAGTACCTAAACCACCAATACCCATTCTTCCAATTCACTGTGAGTGCCTTGCACTGGCATAAATTTCAACAGGGACAAAATTAAAGAATGAGCTCTATAGTTAATGATTTAATTGTTGTACATTGCAAGTTTTGTTTTTTTAGTATTTCAAGTGTCACACTAGTATATTCAACTCTTCTTAATAACATTATTTGCAACTGTATGATTACATATTATCTCCATTTTTTTTAGGAAATAATGTGTTGTAATGTTATCCAGGATTAGAAGTATTAGCATTCTGAGACAGACTGCAGTCAGCCATATTGATTTTCAAATCCAAATTATTGACACATCCGCAGTGTTGGAAGCATTATGGGAGGTGCCCATACCCTTACATTTAGGATTTGTATTTCTGTGATCAGTTGAACCCAAGTCCAATGTGTACAAAGCCTCTGTCAAGATAAATAATACTATTGTCTCAGTGGAAGTATATTTGTCTTATTAAATTCCGTCAGACATATACATATAACTGCATTATTTAATGTGCTGCCACAACAGAGGCATTGTTTATACATAGTGTGAATTTGTTATCAAGAGAAGCATTCTTAACGTTTACACAATATATTTTAAACTGTCAGATTAAAATAACTTTCTACCTAGAGGAGTGTTACAGAATAAGTGGTAATGCCTGAAGCCTTTGCTTTTGTCAGTAACTTGTATTTAGGTCTACAGCAAGCAGCAATAGGCTTATAATTTCACCACGGAGCTTAGTAAATTGAGTACTTTGTATTTTAGAACATCAGAATTCATTTTATCATATGAGACCCTGATTATATTTGGCATGCAGGATGAATCCAACTTTGAGTGGCAAAGTGTAGCACTCAAGAAGATTAAAATAATAAGTAGGTAAAAAAAATTCTACATTTGGTATTTATGTCATATCTGCTCAAACAGTGCATGAAAGCATCATAGTTAAAGTTCTATTGTGGTGTTAGATTTTCTTTTCCTTTTCAAATAGTTCTATCAGTTCCTGAGTGCTTTCTAGTAACTTTACTGCCATTAACTTGATCCACTGCCAATGTTTCCACCTCTGTCTGAGGCACCGGCTGATTCTGGACTGCAGTTGCATGGGGAATGCGATGTGCTACACCAATGTGTGCCTTTTGTTTCTTCTCTTTGGCTGGGCTGCTTGAATCGGAGCGAATGGGAGGGATCACAAGTGGTCTCTCTTTTATAATCTGTGTGTCCATAGACTGTCTTGCCAATAAAAATGGAGTTGGGTCAGGCATGGCGTCTACAGGCTCACGCAGCATAATCTTTCTGCCATCCGCGCCAAGCCTGTAAACCTCAGCAAAGTCTGCATTGAGCGGCGTGGAGAGGCTCTTTTTCATTCTTCTCCTTGGAGTCTCTGGCAGTTTGTCTTTGGGAGGAGATGGCTTATAGCTAGGCAGCACTGGGCTACCAGGTGGAGCCACCTCAGATGTTCCACTAGAGCTCAGCAGCTTTTTCTTGGTAGCATGGAGCTGTGATGTCAGATATGCTATGGTGCTAGCTCTCTGCTCTAATTCACTGGAAAGCATGTTCAACTTATGGCTTTTCACTTTCAGTTCTTCCAAATATTTCTTTTCTCTTTCCTTGATTGTGTTTTCCAGCACCATAATCATTGCATTTTTCTGTTCCAACTCCTTCAATAGTTCATTGTTTTCGGTTTCTTTGTCTTTCAGCTGAGCTTCCAGCTCTTCACATTTCCTCCTTAGTTCATCAGTTCTTGAAATGCCATTTTCTAAACAACAAAAAAAGTGACATTTTTAGAAAAGTTAATTATGCGGTGTGATTCTAAAATTTGACTATTAACCATAGGTTAGTTAAACAAATACACTGCACCAGTGGGAGAAATAAATGATGCGCATGTTTTTATATCACTTTGCTAAACAAAAAGTAAATTCAGCCTGTGTACATCCAGGTTACAAAGGGAAGGGATTTAAAGAGAACATTTCATAACGTAGTTGACAACAGATCACCAATAGCACAGAGCTTTTAAACCACGTAATGTTTTTGAGAAAGAGAAAAAAAAAAATTATTTGCACAATGCCTTTTCAATGTACTATATACAATTATTTTATTATTTATATAGCGCCATCAAATTCCGTAGCGCTGTACAATGTTCAGATAAAATGACTTATAACAAAAATAAACATTTTAGTTTCTGTTGGCAGAAATATTTTATTGAATAGGCATATATTATAGTATATAGTAGTAAACAGTGATATAACTTGGCATATTCAACATTAAGGGTGATCAACCAGACATGGGTTTATTTTAATTGTAATTCCAACGATCAGCTCCAAAACACAATGCTCAAAGACTTGAGCACTTAGATTTCTTTTTTTTCAGCTGATGAAAGATCTCCCCTAAATGGTTAATAAAGAAAACTATAAGAATATGCAGCGTTTGAGCTTTAGGACCCGAAAATGACATGTTATAAAGGCGGTCTATGTCACTTGATCAGGATGCTTATATATCTCACCATGCCTGAAAATCAATTTAACCGAGTGAATTAATGTAGTAGGTGACCTTGGAATCACATCTTCCAATTCACTAATGGTGTCTTGTTACGTTTTGAATCAATAAAAATGAAGAAGCTATTTACGGGAAGACCTTTAATTTCAAGGAATTTTCCCCATCTGTAAATAGTACCATTGAGAGATGGACTATGCTGCTAAAAGGAAGAGGATAGAGAACTGCACAATACATATTGGACCCTCATTGTTATGTTTAATTCACTTTTTCCCCTTAAAAGGTACAGTTCAAGCACCAAAACAACTACTTTTCCTTGTGTTTTTTGATGTTCCAGTAGTCTGACAAATGGAAATATTTCCATTTCTAACAAACTGCTCTGTTTTGTCTGTCAGAATGCCTCTAGTGGCTGTCAGTTAGCATTTCCTTGGAAAGATTTTTAGTAACTGAAAGTCTTCATGTTCAGTGTTGCAATGCTTCTCATAACAAATTAGTTAAAGTCAAGACCTTCTATGACAACGATTTCAGAAGAGGAGGAGCGACAGCCTATCTTAATGGCTGAGGTGGTGGATTATTTAAGACCTTCCATGATGATTATTTCAGAAGAGGTGAAGCGGCAGTCACAGAAAAACCGGGTGATAAAAGGGGAAGTTTAAAGTCTTTATTCTAATTTACAGGGGGTCCAATAATCTAAATTAGCAGAGGAACACTAACATTATAAATATATTTATTCATAGTGTTCATGTTTCTTTACAATCCAATAAAATAAAAAAAGTCATGAGACTAGTGGGAATGCAGTAAATATTTCAGTGGATATATTTACTGCATTATGTAGTAGTTATAGTGTAAAATTCATGTTTTGTCTTATTGAAATAAAAATCAGTTCCAGCAATATCTTCTTCATAAAAACAATCATAAAATAATAAAAATTAGATCAATGTATTGAGCTCATTTTGTTCTTTATATGTCCAATTAGTCATTTTAAGCTACAACACGTCAAGTCAGCCAAGGGCTTATCAGTGCAGAAGGAACAGAAATGCAATGCAATATTTATCATGTAAAATCCATCTACCACTACCCGCAGGGGGGAATGTTATACTCAAGGAGCAAAACCCCAAACTGGAAAAGGGTGTTATAAACATTAATTTTATTCACAACCTACACCATGGTATATTTTATAATAATTATTATTTACACACAAAATTTCAGAGATTTCCCCTTCTCTTAGGTAGCATATTACTTAGCAATTAGCAGAAGCTAGTTTTCTCTGCTCAGGAATTTAATAATGACTAAAAAGAAACGCTTCCTACTGCACCATTACCAAAAATTAAGCTAAGCTCCAGTTTTCTATTTGAGTGGGAGAGGTCCAGGTCTTAAAGGAAGATTCAAGAACTATACCCACTAGAGCATTATGTAGTAGTTATAGTGTCGGGAGTGCTCCTTCTACAACTGTGAGTAATCAAACTGTTTGATAATGGCTTGACTTTTTACCTGGTGTCCACTGGTTGTCTCTTTTTAGAGCCGGAAGCTTCTGATTAGGAGCTTCTGTTAGCTCTCCTAAACTAAGCATTGCAGTGCAGGGTTTGTCCATAGGCCGAGAGTGTCAGTTGATCGCTCTCAGCCAATGAGCCAAGTCATTGCACATTTGTACCACCAGGGTTAGCTCAGACAGAGAGCTTCCAGCTGTACTGAAAACTGTAGTAAAGACAGGGAGCAGTGCCCAGTGGACCTCTGCTAACTACTTACATGAGTGGGTGTTAGGGCACGCTTGGCACCATAACGATTACAGGAGAATGTAGTGGCTACGGTGTTTGTAGTGCTCCTTTAAAAAGGACCCTAAAGACAATATAACAGCTTCATCTCAGTAAAGTGGTTATAGTGTCATATTGCGTTGTCCTTCCATTTAGCGTTCAACAATTTTTTATTTTTTAAAATTCTTTATTTTTGTGTGCACATGTTTAACAGACAATCTTTCAATGCCCCAACAGCACTGGTAATACAGTTAATTGGACAACGCGTATTAGTTACAAGGCATTTGAGTATACTATTTTTAAAAAAAAAAAAAAACATTTTTAAGCAGTGTAAATTGCAGGCTAAGCAGAACATGTCTAGGTTAACTATTGGACAAGAGAAACTAGGCTATACAAAATCCTAGGCATGTTGATAGAGATTGGCAAAGATCACCTGTAATGGCAATCACCACGCTGTGCCAACTAGCATCTCTTCACACAAATGCATTAGCTCAATGCATCTCTATGGGGAACATTTGTCATTTTCATGCAAAATGTGAAGACACTTTATGTCGGTCCTCCAAACATTGCAGGACCAGGAAGGACTTCTAGTGGCTTTCTGAGTGACAGCCACTAGATGTGGCCTTGAGGGCAAATGTAAACACTCATTTTTTCTCAGAAAAAAAGCAGTATTTACAATTGTCAGACTGCAGGAACATTCTCTTTGCTCCAGAACAACTACATTAAATGGACACTAGATGCTGATTGGCACAGGGCGATAATTTACATAATCAAGATCCCAGTCGGGGAGGCAGGGAAAGAAAGGTAAGTAAACTCCTTTATTGGGGGTGTCATCTAACTAGTTAGAAGAACACTATAGCATAAGGAATACATGTTTGTATTGAGAATGCCATAGTGTCCCTTTAAGCTCTAGTGGTTCTAGCAGTTAGAGTGTCCCTTTAAAGTTAGTATACTCACTACGTGGATTTTTAGGAGGTTGTAGTATTCTTCTTAAAACTATTCGATCCTGCAACTTACTGGATTCAAAATGGGACATTTTAATAATGTCTTATTCCATAAAGGTGTTGATTAAAACAGTCTTTTTAATCCTACCCAAATGCTGAAAAACAAAGACAAATTCCTAATGATAATCAGTGTCTGGTTAACGAGACAGGAAAGTATCACAGCTTTTCCATTAAATAAGTAATAAATCTGAACATTACACTAATTAAAACCTTTCACAGAAAGAGAATACAGTCTGAGTTATGTACAAAAACAATTCAAGGACAAACTTTTTAAAATATAACCATCATCAGAAATATTACATTGGTGTCCATGGAGGTTTTCTGTGAGAAGGTAATGCATTGTATTTTTGCCAGACTTTTGAAGGATTATTATTACGATAATGACATTATCAGCTAAGACAGTTAACTCTATACAGAGCGGTTACTTGTACACCAACATAAACATTCCAGTGGTTTCCAAGGTAGCGTGACTTATTTCACATTCTGACACACACAAGAGTAAACAACAAACACAAACAAAAAAATGTGCAGGAAATGATGGGGTTTTTGTTCACTAAACGGTGAACTACAGTAAATTGAAAACTGAACGACAAAATTAAGGTCATGAGTAGCCTAGTTAGAGAATTTTTCCAAGTCGGCTATTTTGGCCTAAATATTGCTATTCAGGTTGAAATTTGCAGTGTAGTGAATAAAGCCCGCTACGAAGTCACATGCTGGAGCCACTAACAGGAAGGTACTATTTCAAATTAGACCAGTGATTAAAAAAGTTATATAAACAAAAATAGCAGATAGAATATTTTCATGTTATTAAAATAAAACTGTCAACCCAGGGTTTCTATTATTATGTTTACTTATATTTAGAAAATAAGTATGTAGAAATTCACACCTCTTTAACCTGAAACTGGGCACCTCCATCTTAGCTCTTTGACAATCACGGTCATAAGATCTGTTCTTTGCACCATGCAGCCAGCATAGAGAAAAGGAGAAATTAAATGTTTTGATTTCTCCTCTTCATGCGCAATGTTTGCCCTGACTTTGCCTTGTCTGTACTGGATTGTGATGTAATTTGTTAAATATTAAGGGGGCTACTACAACCTTGATGATTTCACTGAATCCAATGCTTACCCATAGGGAAGTTAGTGCACATGTGTGACTAAAACGCCACACTGAACAAATCAGTATCTCATAGACATGCATTAATTAAATGCATCTCTAAGAGGAGCATTCAGTGCCTCCATGCAGAGTGTGGAGATGCTGGACTTTGGAACTGCAATCTTTGCAGGACTAAACCCAGGAAGTCCCTCTAATAGCTGTCTAAGTGATAGCCGCTAGAGGTGGGCTTGGGAAGAAAAGGCAGTGTGACACTGCAAATCCTGCAGACAGGTTATTTGCCCCAGAACTACTAGACTAAGCAGTAGTGGTACTGGTGACTGTAGTCCCTTTAATGTCTCTGTGTTATGTATATAAATGATGCTCTGAAGCCTATTCCAGTTGAATGTATTCTGCCGTAACTAAAGTTGGAGGAATCTGGTTGATGCTAGTTGTAGATCCTTCTCTAAAAATAAAGCATTGTATCTCATTTTGGATGATGAACCTATACTGCCACACTGTTTAGTCATGCAATTAGAATGGAAGAAGAGCCCAGCCTGAATCACAATGACACAAGTTCACATCTGTTAGTTTAATACTTTCTAATAAATGAAAAAAGTCTGTTAATTGAGCTGTACATAAATAAATAAATAAAAACAAGTCATTTAATTGCAATTTCATCCCTGGGGCAAATGTTGCTAACTCTCTCTTGTTACATAGTTACATAGCTGAAAAGAAACTTGCGTCCATCAAGTTCAGCCTTCCATCAAGTTTTTGCTGTTGACCCAAAAGAAGGCAAAAAAACCCAGTCTGAAGCGCTTCCAAGTTTTCAACAAACTAAGAAAAACTTCATTTTTTACCCCAGAATGGCAGTCAGCTATCTCCTTGGATCCCTGTATATTATGCTTTTGCAAGTATTTATTCAATTGCTGTTTAAACATCTGTATGGACTGATAAAACCACCTCTTCAGGCAGAGCATTCCACATCTTTATAGTTCTTACTGTAAAAAAAAAAAACCCAAACCTTTTCTTTGCCTTAGATGAAATCTCCTTTGTTCCAGCCTAAATGCATGACCTTGTGTCCTATGTATAGTCCTGTTTATGAATAGATTTCCAGATAATGGCCAGTAACCCCAAATATATATGTATAATGTTATCGCATCCCCTTTGAGGTGCTTATTTTCCAAACTAAAGATATTTAAAAATTTCTAACCTTTTTCTTCATAACTAAAATGCTCCATTCCTTTTATCAATTTTGCAGCCCGTCTCTGCACTTTTTCTAGTGCCATGATATCCTTCTTTAGAACAGGTGCCCAAAATTGCACAGCATATTCAAGGTGTGGTGTTACCAGAGATTTATAAAGAGAAAAATTATATTTTCATCCTGAGAATGTATGCCCCTATTTATACATAACAAAACCTTACTGGCCTTAGCAACTGCAGATTGACATTGCATATTGCTGCCTAATTTGTTGTCTATAACAATTCACAAATCCTTCTCTTGTGTTGTTATCCTGAATTCACTACCATTTAGGGTGTAAGTTGCTTGTGCATTCTTTACCCCAAAGTGCATAACTTTGCATTTCTCTACATTAAATTTAATCTGCCATTTTAGTGCTCAGTCCCCCAATCTATCCAAATCCCTCTGCAGCAAAGCAATATCCTGCTCACATTTTATTACTTTACAAAGTTTTATGTCATCTGCAAACACTAAAACATGGCTTTTAATGCCTATTTCAAGATCATATATAAATATGTTAAATATAAACGGTCCCACAACAGAACCCTGAGGGACTTTTGTCCAGCTCAAAACAATTACAATTAATGACCACTCGTTGTACTCCATCCTTAAGCCTATGTTCTACCCAAGAACAAGAGTAGACCAATTTCTTTTAGTTTGAAGACTAACCTATTGTGAGGAACCGTATCAAATGCCTTGTCAAAATCCAAGTAGATCACATGCTCTGCAACACCCTGATCTATACTTCTACTTACTACATGACCTATATTTCATAAAACCATGGTGATTATTGCTAATAACAAAGTTCTTCCCAATTAATTCCTGAATATTATCCCTTAATAGTCCTTTAAATACTTTCCAGCCACAGAAGTTAAGCTCACAGGTCTATAACTTCTAGGCAAGGATTTTAAACTCTTTTTAAATATAGGAATGACATCTGCCTTCCTCCGGTACAATTACAACAGTTCTAGAACTATTGCTTTCAGGTTCATTGTTTATTTTGCCTGGCCAGCTAAAAAAGGCATGGCGTTAAAGAAAGAACATGGCTTATTACAATCTCATGGGAGTGCATGTTGTCAGCTACCAATCTTTTTTTTTTTTATATATATTCTTTATTTTTGCGCAATGAGACAAAGATGTAGTGACAGTGATGCATGGTGCAAAAACAACGCAGTAATTACATACTAAAATACATCGCACAAAGTATTAGTAAAAGCTGCGCATTTTTTTTAAATGTAAAGTTAGGTAAAGCATATATGTCAAACACAGCATATATGTCTAAATGTTAAACAAAAATGGAACAAGGATAATTGTTTTTACTTTTTTTCACATTCCACTTTGATTTCCACAAATAAGGTATGGAGCAACTCTTTAAATACTTTGCACATTGGATAGAGTATAATTTTAGCTCTTAGTTGGGTATACTTTAAGTCTTACCTGTTGGGTCAGAAGTATTGACAGTCAATTCATATGTCAGATCTGTAAGAAAGAAAGTTGGGATAAAAAAAGAAGAGTTACAATATGAATGAGTAAATACTATAATCCATATCAACACGTTAGATCTAAAAGGAATAGAACAGACCAGTTGCTTCTTATCTGTTGTATGCTAAAGACCTGTGCATAGGGTGAAGTTTATTCTGGGGCGTGTAGAAACCGTTTTCATTTTTGTATTTCCATATGATTGCATGTGTATATATACACACAGTGTCCCATAATTACATACACAATCTATAACATACCTAAAGGGACACTCAGTGCACCATTACAACTTTATTTTGTTAATGATTGATTTAATGCATCTCGATGAGGAGATGCTGATTGGCACAGCTCAGTATTTTGCTGCACATGCACAATAGCCTCATCTAGATTGAGATAATCTAGAATAGGTGTCAGCAACCTATTCCACGTGTTCCATGGAATTCAAAGCTGCCAGAGCTTAACAGGTTCTGGACTATCAGGAGTCCCAATGGAACTTTAGATCTGCTAATATAAACAGCAATTACGCATTGCAGCATTACAGGAAGTGATCTCAGATCTACTACCTACTACCACTAAACTGTTCACACTGGTATTTAGGTTCAATTTATGCTTAAGTTTTGTGATCTCAGATCACTTCCTCCCAGCATTAGTAAATGGGAATCAGCACTGGAGTAGAGCAGCAAGCAGCAGCTATCGCAGCTCCTGTCCTTGACCTGTACCTGGCTATCCTGGTCCCCACCTACTCCAGGGGAGCCACCCAGAGCTGCAGAAGAAGCCTCCTCTTCATACAAATAATACAAACAGCAAACACACAAACACGCAGTACCCACAACACAACTGACAATTCACCTCCACCCTACAAGCAGCCTCTCACATCAGTGGCGTACACATGACCCATGGGGCCCCAGCGCGAAAATTGATCCGTGGCCCCCCCGCGCTTACTCTGCGCGGGCCAGGGCCGCAACACATTGCGGTGGGCACCTGGTCGCAGGGGTTGCAGGGCTGCGACCGCGGTATGTACGCCAGTGCATGCAGATGCACACACACTTAAAGGACCACTACAGACACCCAGATCACATCAGCTCAATGAAGTGGTCTGGGTGCCAGGTCCCTCTAGTTTTCACCCTGCAGCTGAAAACATAGCAGGGTTTAATCCAGCCTCTAGTGGCTGTCTCATTGACAGCCGCTAGAGGAGGTTCCGAGATTCTAAGACACTGAACGTCCATAGGAAAGCATTGAGTAATGCTTTCCTATGGGCGGTTTAAATGCGCGTTCGGCTCTTGCTCCGGCGCTGGAGAAAGGTAAGTGCTGAAGACACACACACACACACTCTCACACACAAAAGCTAACAGACACACACATTTACTGACAGAGACACACTCAGCGACAGACATACATACACACTCACTGACAAACACACTCACTAACAGACACACACAAACACACTCAGTAACAGACACACACAGTAACACACTCATTGACACTAGCAGACACACACTCAATAACAGACACACACACACTAACACTAACACACACAAACTCTAACACTCTAACACACACTAACACTCTAACACACACTTTTTTTTTTTTTAATTTAATCCCCCAGCCTCCTTACCTTTTGGAGAGCTGAGGGGATTCTCTGGGGTCCAGTGGTGTCACCGGGCGGGCAGACAGGCTGGCGTGCGAGGGAGCACTCTCCCCTGAGTGCTCCCGCTTCAGCTCCCTCGCGCTCCCATGACGTCATCTTCCAGCTCCGGTATCAGTACGTGGCGTGCGAGGGAGCTGAAGAGGGGGCACTCAGGGGAGAGTGCTCCCTTGCGCGCCCGTCAGCCTGCCTGTCGGGTGATACCAGGGCCCCCCAGGATAACAGGCTGGCCACAGTGGCCCCCTGGTGGGTCGGGCACGGTCGCAGCCGCGACCCCGGTATGTACGCCACTGTCTCACATGCAATGCAAGCAGCCCCACACATACACACCACCAAACACACAATGTAACATATCATCAACAGCCATACACAGCCCACATTCAAAGGCATCATACACAATACCACAAACTCTTGAACGTATACTGTACAGTAGAACAGTCCACATACGCACAAATACAACACTACAAAGCAACTTCAGCACCCATAAATAACACAAGCAGAATATGGCAACATTCAGAACTCAATTTCAAAAAATGGGATCAGCACGTCACAGGGTTTAAAAATCTTGATTTGGCACAGTACTGCTAAAAGGTTGCCTACCCCTGATCTAAGCTGATGATGTCGCGATAGAGAAAAGGTAAGTTTAAACACCTTTTCATACACTTTGAGTGGGGCTGAGTACCTAAACATTGAACAAGTAACTATAGTGTTATTATTACATGTTTGCATACCTAACACTATAATGTAAAGTATTGATGCCTGGGGTGTCCCTTTAATAGCTGTTCTTTTACAGGTAATATTTAGGTTACCAAAATCACGCCTCAAAAGGTGATGCCTCATGTATACTGAAATTACAGATTTCCACGATCTATTGACAGCAATAAATAATTTTTTAGACTGACACAATTATTGCTCTGTGCTTGATGTATGGGAAAGATCTTACTGTTGGTTGTTTGTAAGAAGCAAATGATAACTTAGACAAAAACAAATTTTTTGCTACTGAAGGGATATTTGAAACCATTAAGTGATGCCATCATATAATCTTTAAAATAGGCCAATACCTTGTGTTGACTATTTTAAATGCCTTAACAGTTTTTGCTTTTCTATGAAAAAGAAAGCCCAAATTGAACAAAATATATGTCTTAGCACACAACATTCAAAAGCACAACAAAATCAAACAGTTCAAAAAACCATGAACCCTACAAAGCATTAAGACGGGAGTCACTCATTAAGCCAAACCTTTGTAGTGGGTACTTGAGTTACACGCTTTCTGCAGCTCTGCCCCTCCTCTCCCCCTCCCCCCCCAAACTTTCACTTAGGTTTGAAAATTGTGATGCAATTCTAAGATGGTCTCCTCCATGTAGAAAAACTGTGAGCTAATTAAAGGCAATGTAACGGCTTCATCTCAATGAAATGGTCACAGTGTCTATATCTCCCGGGCACCATCCTTTTGTTTCATTTTAAAGTTTTAAATGTTTAAATAGAGACCCCATTCCATCTGTGCTGCTTGGGATAAGGAGGTAGCATTAGCCTGAGTAGCAATGGGCTTTGGTAATTAGTTGATATTAGTTTGTATGTCAGCTGACCTTCATCAAACCCATCACATCTGCCATTGCTAGAATGAACTGGCATGGTTAGCAACATAATGTAATCTCTGCCTTAGCTATATCTCCAGTGGGGTACAGGGACCCCCATTTATTTTTAAACTGCTCAAAAAATGTTTAACACTGAATGGAAGGAAGGTGCCAGGGGACTCTAGGCACTATAACCAAATCACTTTTAAGTGGTACTATAGCTAAATTTGATTAAAGAACCACTCTAGGCACCCAGACCACTTCAGCTTAATGAAGTGGTCTGGGTGCCAGGTCCCTCTAGGATTAACCCTTTTTTTTTTTTTATAAACATAGCAGTTTTAGAGAAACTGCTAGGTTTATAAATGGGTTAATCCAGCCTCTAATGCCTGTCTCATTGACAGCCGCTAGAGGCGTTTGCTTGCTTCTCACTGTGAAAATCATAATTCTAAATGCTTTCCTATGAGACCGGCTGAATGCGCGCGCAGCTCCTGCCGCGTATGCGCATTCAGCCGAAGAGGAGGATCGGAGCTACCCGCGCGGCGCTGGAAAAAAAGTACGTTTAACCCCTTTCCTCTCCCCAGAGCCCGGCGGGAGGGGGACCCTGAGGGTGGGGGCACCCTCAGGCCACTATAGTGCCAGGAAAATGAGTATGTTTTCCTGGCACTATAGTGGTCCTTTAAAGCAATATTAATTAGCTGAGAATATTTTTTAAACTGAAATAGCCAGTCTGGTTGTGCTTTAAGAAGACACCCCAAGCTATTTCAGAACACTATTACCTGTGCAATGCTGCTGAAGACGGCGGATCTCAGAGTGCAAGCCTTTAAGTGTGTTGGCATGCTCCTGCTGTAGGAACAGTAGATTCTTTTGGGCACTGTGGAGCTGGTTTTCCAGGTTAGACGTGGCCATAACGAATTCACTCAGTCTTTAGGAACAGTCTTGCCATAGAAATCCAAAATTAAATTTCACTGTCAAGGAAACATAAGTGATGGTGAAAACATACATCAAAATAAAATAAAATTACCTTATTGTAAAAGGAGACGCTATCTGTATATGCCTCCTGTAATCAAAGAGTGTCTATGAATAATAATATGGGTAGGAATGAAACAGGCTACAATTATCCACACACCACTCCATTATACGGTATTGTAGAAGAGGACAAGCGTAAAGGGACACTATAGTCACCAGAACAACTACAGCTTATTGAATTTGTTCTGGTGAGTAGCATCATTCCCTTCAGGCTTGTTGCTGTAAACACTGTCTTTTCAGAGAAAATGCATTGTTTACATTGCAGCCTAGTGATAGCTTCACTGGCTACTCCTCAGATGGCTGTTAGAGATCCTTCCCGGGTCATGGCTGCCTAAAATGCATCCAAACATTCAGCGTCTCCTCCCTGTGCATGCAGACACTGAACTTTCCTCATAGAGATTCATTGATTCAATTAATCTCTATGCGAAGATGCTGATTGGCCAGGGCTGTGCTTGACTTGTGTTGGCTCTGCCCCTGATCTGCCTCTTTCACAGTCTCAGCCAATCCTATGGGGAAGCATTGTGATTGGCTCAGAATAACACTTCTGATGATGTCAGAGTGTCACGGCCCCTGGCTCGTCGCCATGTGCGTCCGTGCCCGACCGCACCAACTCACTGAGCCTACCTGCTCAGCGGCGAGCCGGGAACCGTTCCTCCATGCCGCTCGTGGAAATCCAAGATGGCGCCGACCAAGAGATCGCGTCCATCCATGGCTCCACCCTCAAAATTATACGAACGTGCGCGTGAAGTCAACGCACGTTCTGGGGTCAGAGGTCACCCTCTGACCAATCAGAGCCTAGAGAGGGATAGTTAAATCCCTAATTCACCCCAGTACCTTGCCCTGTCGTGGTTTCCTGTTCCTGGTTCCCTAGAGTGTGTTTATCTTTGTGAATATTACTTCCTGGTATCCTGATCTTGACTTTTCCCTGGTTATTCCGAATTCTGGTTCCCCTGACTTGGCTTGTTTAAACGGTATATGAGTATTTCTGGCTTCCTTGACCTCGGCTTTCCCTTTGACCATTCCCTATCTCTAACGTATTAGTCCGGCCATTCTATGGTCCGGTTTACGCTCTGTCCTTTTATTTCCTTTCCTTTTGTATGTATATGTTTACATAGTTTCTGCGTGTTGGACCACACTAGCAGCTGTGACACAGAGTCAGCTTGCAGGTCTGAGGCAGACAGGGGCAGAGCCAGCAGCATCAGGCTTAAAGACAAGTAAGATTTTACTATATTTAGGGAGGAATGAGAGGGCCAGGGGGGCTAGCTGGTGGTTTTAACAATATAGTGTCAGAAATATAGGTTTGTGTTCCTGACCGTATAGTGCTCCTTTAAGATTACATAGCTGAAAAATGCACTGTACAGCTTGTTACTAGTGTTACCCTTCCCTACTCCATAGCAACAGGACAATGAACTTGATAAGTTTCATTGTAGTTTATTAGTCCTCCTGGTGTTTCATGTGAGTAAAACAAACAGCCTATAGAATGTCTATCTAGTAGATGTGTCTAATAAAGCAAGGCACCTTTACTATCTAAAGAAAGAGACAAAAATAAAAAAGAATGGAGCAATTACAAGGGAACAGTTGAGGTTTAATGTGCACTCATCTTATACAAAATGATGTGGTGGCATTTTAGCAAAATGTTTGGAGACATTAAAGTGTATAATGACTAGACTGACATTTATTAAATACAGATTTTTAGTTTAGATCTATGCAGAGAGGGAATTGTAAAAGAAAAAGACACGTTCTTTATGTCACATCCAACTTGTCCAGACTGCGGCTGCAAAAAACGTCCAAGGACAAAACTCAACGGGCCAAAATATCCTACATGCAGAGTGTGATTTATTCCACAATGGTATAATACAAATAGGCACACATCAAAAGAAAAACATTACCCCTTGTTGCTAAAGGACATGGTCTTGTGCTTCCTGCTACAATCATAACTCAATTCCAAAATGCAGTTTTGATTCTTTGATTCTGAGATTGAGCGGTTAACTTTGTAGGCCTTGGTCTCAGCCAGGACACACCAAGGTCAGGGAAACAGAATGCATGTAAACTGTAGACAAGCCAAGTCCAGGGATACAGAAGTCAGAATAGTCAAAGAACAAACCAAGGTCAAAATACACAAAAATCAATAGAAATAATGCGCTCTTGTATAACCAAATTGGGAACCACAACAGTGCATTGAAAACGGGCTATTCTGGGATTAAATTGCTAAAATAAAGCTCTAATTAGCCCACAGATACCACATGACATCGGAATATGCATGACATTGACATGACGACTCATGCACCTTTGCGAGAGTCAGAAACTTGGAGGACCTCAGAAGTCTTAAAAGACTTTGGCATGCAGCAGCCTACTTCTCTAATACTTCCAGAGCCGGCCAGAGGGGATACTCCAGGAGCCATGTCTGGATTTCTCACAAGGTCATGGCCTCGGGGGACCATGGCCGATGAGGAGATCAAAGATTGTTGCTCGAATAGAGAGGTTATAATTCGTCTCTCTCGCCTGCAGGTTACCATGGCAATAAATTTACTGGCACTGGCTGGAAGGAGCGGTCTGCACCCACTGGGGTTCAGACATGCTGCTTCTCTCACCAGACACAAAGATTACCTGTATGTCTGTATTTGTTAATCTGTGTGTCTGTGCATCAGTGTGTTTGTGTGTACTTATGAATGTGCGTGTAATAGTGTGCATCTATGATTGCAAATAATTCCTACAGTTGGAGGGGGAAGGTAGAATTGAATGGTAGAGCACAAAATGGGCATTAGGCTTACATGGAGAACTGTTTTTTAAAATTCTGTTGCGGTAAATTTCTTTTTATTGAAAGCATTTCATTTTTTTCCCACAATAAATAATGTGAGACTCACAGGTCCCTCAGTCCTCATAAATGTGCATCGAAGCGCAGGTCCAGTTGCAGATTTATACTTAAGCAGATAAACAAAGAATATAACAACCAACCAAGATTGAATATTAATATTACAGTGTGTAGAACAAAATAATAGTGTAACACTGTTACACTATTATTTTGTTCTATATTCTTTTGTAAATCTACAGCTGTATCCTCATTTTGTATATATCTATTCTGTATTGGAGGGATTATCGCTGGGATATCCCTGGAGGAAGCGGTTACCACTGTCTATTAAGATAAGTGTTTTATATTCACTTTTTTGTTTTATGTGCAAAAAGTGACTGTTCTTGTACTATATACTTAATATTACAGTGACCTGACATGCAGAACAACCTGGCTGAATACCAGGACTTGGGAACATGTGATTGCGGGACACATGATTCGCTCAGATTATTCGCTAAAGTGAATTTACAAAAAGTAAAAAAAAAAAAAATGTTTAAAGGCCAAAGAAGCTGAATTTGAAGCATAGCTGATTTAAAAGAATTTCACCATTAAGGAAGCCGTCTGCCTTTTTTGAAGTTACCGGCCACAGCATTCGCTCTACACTACCCCATGTGTTCCTTGCAGCCCAACTACCCATTGGTAGTTGCAGGTGGAGCGGCAAAGGATCGACATGACCAGACTATCTCCGTACTTGGTATATTGAAGTTTGCCTTCCAAGCACACGGCAGTCATCCGAATCCCTAACCCCATCTGGATTTGGCTTACTGATACCAATATCGCGGAGGGGCCCCCCGCAGTCAGATACATTTTAAGACCGTGTTTAATATTTTTGAACATTTTACCTTTTGTGTGAGCACCTTAAATCTCTCACATATACTGATTATATTCGTACTTACACACTATGACCTTAGTGATGTACCACTAGTATATATAAACTTCTACCTGTTACAGTTTTTAAGTTTGTGTGGGGCTCTCACTATTAGAACAACATTTAGAAGTGAGTTTTTTGTAAACATCTCAGTTTAAGCTGCTACATGCAGATTCATTGCATTTGAAACTGTAGCAGCTTTTTTTGGGGATGTTTATGTGATTTTCTCAGCAGTTAGAATTACATGAGGTTTGATACATTTTATTATTTTAATTGCAATACATTTGGTACGAGCTTTAGAGCTACATCAGTTCTTGATAAATTTATATTCGTTGTTGTAAGCGGATTCCTGAGTTTGTTGATATAAAGTTTATTTTAACAAAATTTGATATATTCTGTATTTATGTGTATTCTTATATCTGAATCTAATTTTCTCTCACCCATTATACAACAATTAAAGGAGACAAGTTTGAAACTTATAACACTATGTTATTACACATCTGTAACATTTCAACAAATGTGATTAGTGTGTGATAATAGGTTCTACTGAAGACATGCCAATGCTGGAACCTTTGCACAAATCTGGCAGTCCATTCTTTGAATTATACCTTGCTAGGAGTAAATTAGTATCATGGTTACAAAGTCACGGACCATGGATTACCATTTTCTCCAGAGATCTTTTTACTACATTTCAGCATGGTGTCTTGCTTTTAGTATAAAAACTTGCTAGCTTTTCATCTACTAACAGAGGTTAAATCCCTCATCATCATTAGGAGCAAGCAGATACCTCATCTATTTTCCTTTCTTCCACACAGGCCAAATGGTTCCTCTCACTTGATTTTGCTTCTAGGCAGTTAGCGACAGATAATATAATAGATCATATGTCTCATCCACGTTAGTACAAAATCCATTAATCTGAGCCATCAAATTATTATACTTAGAGTTTTGCACGGTAGCTGCTTCTGTTTTGTATTATTATGGTTCAGAACAACCAGTTGTATTGTGATGATATCCTTAGGACTTATCATTGAATGTACTGGTAAGTCATATCAGTCCACCTACTTCTTGTACATTTCCATTTGTATATGTTGCTCCATTTTACCTCTTTTTCCCCTTCATCTAAGTATGTACCCATTATGTTTAGTAAACTTTTGAGAATGAAAATAAAAGGAAAGAAAGGAAGCTCAACACACTACCAATGGGCTTAAGTCATCAAAACATGCTGCTATCCTTTCACTGGTGAACTGATAGTTAACCAAGTTAGTCTATCTGTTGAGCTTATAATTGGATTGAATCAATGAAGACATTGCTTGGCATGTAATGAATTATCCGGTAATTTCCATAATTTTCAGCTCTGCTATTTTGGCCCAGTTGTTCAATAATAAATATGACTATTTACTACATAACTTTTGACTCTTAACTCATATGATGAGTAATACACCAAAAGTAAAGTGATGTAAAACACAGAGAGAAAACACAGACCACTTTTGTGATAGTAATAATATAGCACACATATATTGGACCTAGATTCCCCCCGCCCCCAACCCACGAAGGCACTGAAATATCTGCAACAGATAACTTTTATAAATTTCAGCCACTGTATTTCAATCATTACGGCCAGCTGCAAATGTTAACGGTGATACAAGTAAAACACTACCAGTTAAGATCTCCTAGAGTAGTCCCACATGTTTTAATATGATTGTTTGGGGTACCCCTTTTAATCATTATATTTAACGTGTGAGACTATTAAAAAAAAAGGACAAAGAATGTTTAAAAATTAAATGAACACTATAGGTACCTAGATCACTTCATTTCAAGTCTTGGTGCATTGTCCCTGTCCCCTTAAACTTGCAAGTGTTTATATTGCAGGATTAAGACTGCCTCTAGTGGCTGTCTACCAAGCAGACACTAAAGGAGCTTCCTGCGGATTCACAAAATTTAACTCAGTGAAACGACGCAGGGCTTCTTCACACTTTGCATCTTGCAAAATCCCATAGGAAAGCATAGATTTAATACTTCCCTATGTGGCGATCCTAATGTCCGCACGACGATCGCTGCGCATGCACATTAGGTTCCTCCTCGTTATGACATGAGAGGAAGCACAGGCAGAGGCAGCACTGATGGACTTCGGAGCTGGAATCAGGAAAGGGATTTAAATTTATGTCCTATTATGACAAAAAAATTTAATCAGCTCAAGTAACCTATATATTGTAAGATGAATACAGCAACCCCACAGTTATCTCAATAGAAAAATATAGATAGAGAACTATGTGAGAGCCAGGTAGTTGTTGGAGGGTGGGTGACTTTAAATGCATTAGTATATAAATTATAAATATCGTTTCATGGGGGGGGGGGGGCTGCACTCTTCGGTTTTCATTTAAAATCCCCAAAAAATTTTGGGGGTACACATTAAAATAGAAATAAATGTTTCAGCCCCACTCTGGGCTTTCCTCAGGATAAAAAAATACATACACCTATGTATGAGTTTGTTGATTCTGAAGAAAGCCCAGAGTGGGGCTGAAACGTTGATTTCTAGTTTAATGTATACCCAATAAAACTATTTGGATTTTAAATGAAAACTGAGGAGTGCAGCCATCATTTTGGATATTCTATGTGAAACCAGCCAGCCTGCTGACTTATGCACCCGGCATTAGTGATGTCCCGAACTGTTTGCCACAGACTCATCATTGAGTAAACTTTGACCCTGTACCTCACAGTCAGCAGACACATTCCAGCCAATCAGCAGAAGACCCTCCCTCCCAGACCCTCTCACCTCCTGGACAGCTCACTAAGAATGCAGCTTCACAATGGATGCTGTCCAGGAGGTGGGAGGGAGGGTCTGCTGCTGATTGGCTGGAATGTGTCTGCTGACTGTGAGGTACAGGGTTAAAGTTTACTCAATGATGAGTCCGTGGCGAACCATTTACGGCGAACCGTTCGGCGAACAGTTCGGGATATCACTACCCGGCATTATCAAAGAAAGCATGAGTGCAAGGAACCTTGTTGTTTGTTATATATATTTATTTATTTTTTTTGATCCTGAAGAAAGTGCCCCAGAGGGACTGAAATGTTGATTTTTAATGGGACTACAATAAAGTATTGAATTGTATTTGAAGACTGTGAGTGCAGCCACCTTTGTATAACATATATATTATATTGTTATATATATTTATATTGTTATGGGAAGGGAGCTTTGTGACTGAACGGTAGGTGCAGGTTACTAAAGAGTTACGGGTATGTAAATAAGGAGGTGGAAAATGGGTAAGATATGAGGGTGCGGTAAGTGTGCCTATGAGTAGACATATGACAAAGTTGGTCAATCATTACATGAAATTCAGTTAGTGAGGAGAATGTGATTTGGTGGGTGGCTGTATGTGACTACATCTGCCTTCAAAGGTGAGGCACCTGGGAGCACTGCACACCTCTTAATCCTACTTCGCTCAATAATAAGTGCCAAGTTCCTTTTAAATCTTTAAGGCAAACTCAACAAATGTATTTTTTTGTGTGTCTCCCAAAATATCTTCTGCATAAGTTACTAAAGTTAGCATGTTTGAGACCACAATATTTTGCATACACTCAGGCACAAGTTGAAAAAAATCTTACAATGTAATTATTAAAAGCTAGTTAATAACTGACTTAGACAGGACTTTACTACATTTACCCATTCATTAATTTGTGAGCATGTTATGCATCATCTATTCACCGCCTGCAAAACACAGTCTTCAAGAGTTTCTGGAATGATAGATAATGAGTTTAGCAGCTGCACTGTGATTTTTAAAGCAGGAACTCTCTGCACGGTCCATAGCAGGAGGTATTTTGCCATAATTATTGAGGTTTGAAAAGTACTGCAAGACTGCATTAGTTTATTTTTAGATCAGCAGCATATTGTATAATTATATTTTATAAAGAAATTGGTCCTCCTGAGATTGTAAACACAAAGTAACAAGGTTTTTTTTTTAGAACAAAAATTAGAACAATGTATTGTCTTATGAATTTTTTTTAATTTTTTTTTAAATAATGACCCAATTTGTTTGATGTAAAATCATAAGTGTTTTTGCCTGTCATCAAGATGGCAATATAATGATCAGCCAGGTAATTCATCATGCATGGATACTTATAGAGAGAAATGGATAGAGAAGTACAATTAACCCCCCATGAACTAAATTTTACACAATCATTAAATCTGGTCCCTGAAGAGACCTAGTGCCAGGCACTGAATATCCAGCTTACTTTGCACCCACAGCATAGCACTAGGCAATTGGTGTAATATGGGCAGAATGTCCTGGGATAGTCTAAAGCATCCAACCAGAAGCCTAAATACTGGTACCTTACATGCCTGCCATGTTAACTCATGGCATACTGATCGAAGCACAGCAATATTAGCATACACCCCCTAATTCTTCTCTTTTTAAGCATATAACTGGTGTAAAAGTGAATCATGTGATTACATCTAATCATCTGGCAGAGCTGGATTCAATGAATAATGGTCTTGTCATTTCTCCATGTTTATGGAGATGGACATGAATGATACTATAAAAAGGTTAAAAAAAATCCTAAAAATAAAAACAAACAAAAACAACATGCAAAATAGTATATTTCCTTAACCAGTGGCACAGATTTGTAACACAAAAAGAGTCAAAATGCCATATTTTAAATATTGCGGTTTATCAAATTTATGTTTTCAGGGGGTTTAGCCACTCTAGGAAATGTATGTTTTCATGAGGGTAATTTGATTGTTTGCTGCTAAACTGGCCCAAAGAAAGGCAGGCAGACAAAATTCCAAGTCTAGAAACTAAAATATATTTTCTTGTAATCTACAATTTCGCATAACTACCCATGCGGGTAAAAGGCAATGTAACTAACCTTTAATTTTTCATACATAAAATATGAAAATGTTTATAACTACATAATGTGTATGTGTCAAAGACGCATGACAACTAAAAAGAATTACTATCAACTTAGACTAAAATAGATGGTAAAAAGGCCAGAGCAGAGGGAAAAATGTCCCATGTGAAAAGCCAGGAAACGCCTATTTTTCAGTAATGTCTATAGGCAAGTTATCGGCAAGGCTATCACAAAATTACAAATGTGAAAACATAAATAGGCATCTACCTAATTCGTCTCCTAAAATTTACAACCAGAATGACAAATCATATAAGACCTGGAACTGATGAAGATGAGCATTATGGCTCTATAGGGATGTAGATGAAGACAAAAGGGGTGTAGCAAACAAAATAGTATTCAGATCAAAAAGGCAAGGTGATATATGTGTGTCTTTTTGGAAATACATATATATATATATATCTACAATTATACTCCTGTGTAGCAACTGCTATTTATGGCTGCAGTCCTTAACACAGCCCTATCACCAAACAATGACAAGCCAGAAGAAAGGCAGGGGAAACTAAATAAATTACTTTTGTTTGTTATAGAGTAAACTGTGGCAGATAAAAAGTTAAAGTGCAAAATATAGGCAGAAAAAATGCTAAAGGAGAATTGAGCTGAACTGGAGCATTTTTCCAGCTTAGCTATTTTTGGATTGTAATGTGCAATTCAGTGTTCGTTTCACCATAGTTTGCCAATTAAATCCAATGTATTACATATAATTTTGTATTGTAATTTTAGTAGTCTACTGATTACATTCTAAAACTCCATAAAAAGAAGATATTAAAAGGAGCTCAGAAATATAGGGTTTTTTTTGCACACTTTTGACAGTAAAAAATTATAATATTTACTGTAAACAAAATAACAGGAATCAACAAAATAGTGATAGCATATCACATAAAATTATACCCCTTTACTTTGGGGAAAATATCAGTCATTCTTTATTTACTATAAATAAAAGCTAGGCAGACTATGTAACCCTACATTGATTTGTTTGCCTTTGTATAGTTTTTAAATGAACCTATAAAAAAAAGAAAACAGCTCCTTTCTACAGATAATTGCCAGGGATTAAATTGCAGATATGGACAGATGGGCTGGATTTGGAAAAACTGCTAAGAGATAATAAAACAAGGGATACATTTATCACAAGTAATGGATATGGCCCCATGGCTGATGTCATTGAATAATCCCAGGAGATTGCATGGTAGGTCATAATGGCACAAGGCTAAATCACTGCTCTCTTTGTATGAGCCATGAAGTCATAAATTATTCATCCCATTTTAGCATCTTACTGTAAAATTAGTATGGAATGCAGGAATCTTACCCAAATATGATGTCAACATCTAAGTCAATTTGTGAAACAATGATTTTAGATCACAATAGCCATGATGTACTCTATCAAGCAGGAATTTCTGAAGAATACCTCTGACACCCAAGTAAAATGTGTTCACCATAAAATTGCAAGGTTCTTTTGTACAGTTGTGTAGACATGAAAAATAGTAAAATCATCATGCTGCAAATACACATAGCTATTTATTCAGAAATGCGTGTACTCAGATGTGTACAGGACCACGAGCAGCACTAGAGGACCGTGCTTAAAAGCATAATGAAGAAGACATCACAGTAAGTAATAATGACAGCAGCACCCCTGCCACACCATCAGAAAAGTGAATCAAGGTGGAGATGCGTTCTGAACATTATACAAACTGTCAGGTATCTGCAATGCGGATTCCAATAGTTACTCTGAACATACCTACAGACAGCAAGGGGTTATATAACCATGGAGTGTCCATGCGTCTTCAATAAATCGGTGTTTGGCCACGCCATAAAGCTGCAGATAACTCACCCACGGATTTCAGCACCACGTGTGGAAGGGTCAGCTCATAGGGAGCGCGCACAGCAGAGAGGTGACATCCTCAGGATGGGTATCAGGCGCCTGGAGACACTGCCTGCCACATGTCCACACCCTGTCTTAATGTGAGCACAGGAGGACTATGGGCCCCTCTGGCGAGCAGAGGCTGAGGAGGAAAACGCCCTTCACATCTCGGTGGGTTATACGGATCGTTTATTCCAAGGCTAGTGATGACGAGAGGAGGAGGGGATGAGCACAAGACACTGCCCCTCCCATTAACTCTACATCAAATGCAGAACTGAAAACTAACCCTAAAAATAGCTGGGCACCACATCTGATGGGCAGAGTACAGATACATTGCACTGCAATATACAGGCTGGCTAACTAGCGGTATTCTCCAGTAAGGGAGCACCTGCTGCCAGAGTATTGGACACAATCACACCAACAAGAATGTGTTAACACCAGTTTCCAAACATAAAAAATGTAAATAAAATTAATAAATAAATATATATTTTATATACATACACACAAACACACTTTCAGCGAACAAGTGTAATGCACACTATATGGTGTATATATGACCTCTTAAACAATTAACAAAAACTGATTGGGGTCAAAGACTGTTCTATAGATTCTTCAATATCTTATATCATTAGAGGACACATTAAGACGGTAAAAACAAGAGCTAATGTGTGGCAAAGTGATAAATATTGAGCAATCACGGAAACCATCAGGGCTTGGATTGGCTTGTTAACCTCAATAATATGGTGTATGTGATGTTCATACATATATTACTTTAATTGTAAAATAAATAAGGAATGTTTTATATTGTTCTTTAAGAAGAGCACTATTTAGGTTGTAAGAGACTGTTTAACCTGTTTAACCTTAAACGCAATGTTACAAAATACTGTAGCTAAATAGATTCTGTGATCATTATATATTACCAATACTTCTAAATATGGACCTGCCGTACAGGTGTCATATTTTCAGAAAACTAAGCTGGTACGCATGGGGACATTTTTCTTTTTAAACAGCTGGCAAACACCTGCCTACATTATCCTACAGATGTTGTCGGAAAAAAAACCCAGTTAATATCAGAGTAGCCCTTTTATCTTCTCTAATCTCAGTAAATCTCTGTACATTTGCTGCAGTGCTGTTCCACATTTCCATGGGATGTGTCCTGGTGTTTTTAATAATTAATATGCTAATGGCCAGATCATATTTAAAGACAAAGAACTGTCACAAAGCATTTGGCATTCTGTAGCTTGGTTAGATCATTTGCTCTTACATTCATTTTTCAAGCCTCTTCAACTAACTCAATGCAGGTGTACAAAAAAGGTCACTATTCTGCATTTTTAAACCAGTGAAGAAAACCATCACCTACCTATACGGTCAACCAGTGGTGCTATTTGTGGAAGCACTAAAGTAGCCACTGCTCCAGGGTTACATAATATTGAGTTTATGTATAAAATGCACATCTAGGGCAAGGCTACACAAATATGAGGTTGTCATAGAAACCAATTGACATTGTCTACAAGGTATTTCCCTCCCCAAAACCCCTTCAGCTTATTGTATTTCTTATGGGGGCAGGCGTGTCCAGGCACCATATTAAGTTCGGGGATTTAACTCTAAAGTTGGATCATCAAACAACCAACACAGCTAAACTCAGTTTTTATCCTCTCTGTCTTCTGCACGTCTGTTTCACTTCTCTGACTTTAGGTATACATTTATTTTGCTCCATTAGAATCTTAGATAATATTGGCTACATTCAACACAGCAGCCACACAGATTTATAAAGTGAGCAAGTCTCTATTACTTCAACAAAAACAATACAAAGTAATTGATTACTGATTACCACAACCAGGCACTTTAACAGAAAACCCTGTTTCCTGAACAAACATGGCAGTTTTTACTTATGTGTTAGCTCTTCCTCTCACAACAGGAAATAAAAATCGCAAATTGGAATAAATTTCACCCCTTCCCCATCATCCCCATCAGGCAATAGTTTTTCCTGTCCGCTTAAGCAGACTTTTTCTATTGTGCTCACAGGCCAATATTTTTTAGGTCCATCCAGGAATCAGCACATATGTAATAGTTGCCTCCCTGGGTATCCTAGTTAGTGACCAAGGGACTGGCCTAATTCTATCCCTGATGGGATAATGACAGTGGTCCACTGGATACATGAGGCCAAGCCAGGGCTATGCTTTTTTTTTTTTTATCTGAAGACCAAGTAAACACCACTTACATAAGATGACTACCTAGGTATGCATCATTTATGTATACCACCATGTCCAGGGTCTGTTTTAAAACTTAACCTACTATTGAGGATGAATAGCATTTGGGGTAAGGAAGCCTATAGTTTAAACAGTTTAGGGTCTGTCAGTTGTTCAAATCCCCATGTGCCGCTGAAATTCAGGCCTGCAGCAGTTCATCTGTCTCCATGGATGTTTAGCTTGTTTCTCCACCTCAAGTATGTACATTAGATATTTAGATTAAAGAAGTAGAAGTATCCGGGTTTCTGTTCTTTCAGTTCCTCTCAGTTGCTTACATTGGGCTTCCTTTTAATATGTCAAATTTAGGAGAGACTTTTTTGGTGAGCATTTAAGTTTATATAGGTAATTTCCAATTATGCATTTAAGTTCCATGTAAGGAGTGCTGCTAATAGATATCCTGGCTGTGTAAAATCTAGTACAAGGATCAGCAACCTATGGCACATGCTTGGCACTCGAGGTGCCTTTGCACGGCACTCAAGGCTGCCAGAGCCACAAAGGCTCTGGCCTATCGAGTCCCAGTGGGACTTTGGTGATCTCAGATCACCTCCACTCAGCACTTGTGAAGGGTTCTCCACTTTTGAGTAGATCAGTCTGCAGCAGCTATCACAGCTACTGCCTTTGACCTACACTAGGCCAGCCCTGACCCCACTTGGAAGACACCCACACGGCTAGATATCCACATAGCTGAAAAAGAAGCCTCCCCATCATACAAATAGTCCACACACAAACACACACAGTCCCCACAAACAAAACACCACTGATAATCCACGCACACAACCCCACAAGCAATACCACAAGCAGCTCCACACATACACACACCATCAAACACACTACGTGACATATCCTGCACACACACACACACACAAAATTCAATAAGCAGTCCACATTCATAGGTATAATACAGAATACCACAAGTTACTCATGAGCATATACAATATAACAGTCCACATACACACAAATACAATACTACAAAGCAGCTGCAGCATCCACAAATAACACAAGCAGAATACAGTAACATGCACACCTCAGCTTAAAAAAAAAAAAAAAAAAATTTGGAACAGTACTTCTAAAAGATTGCCTACCCCTGGTCTAGTACATGAGTTTTTCTTGTGTTAGTCTAGACTTGTTTCGTTAGCATGACCTTAATTCCTACCTGGCACTATAATTCTCCAGGATATTTCCTATATTTGAATATCAGGGGGTTGCTGACCTGCAGCCTTTGGGGTAAAATAACTTGTCTAACTAGCAGATATGACAATATCCAATGGATTGCTTGTTTGGGTTTGATAAGGCATATTATGTATGTGCAGCTCAATAATTTAATAATAATGTTTTTTATAACCATTAGCTGCATTTGAACTCTGTCCCTCCCTCTATATATACAGCTTGAGTATTACCCATAAGTAAATGCTGCCATGTTTGATCAGGAATAAGCAAACTTGTTTCATACTTACTGTAAGTTTATTTTCCTGATCATTATATATGGTAGCATTTCGTTCCCACCCATCTACTTGGATGAAGCCAGTTACAAAGACTGCCTGACGGGGAAGGGGTAGATTTAGTTCTGTTTCTTGTCCTTTCTGTTGTGAGGGGAGGAGCTAACCCATGAGTAAATGCTGCCATGTAAATGATCATGAAAAGAAAATTATGGTAAGTATAAAACAATTTTCCTTAATATAGCTTATTTTGAATATATGAAAAAATGGCTATTTACAGTCTCCTTTAAAAAAGTGAAACTATGTGGTTTATTTTCTAAACAAGGAAGTGCAATGGTGAAATAATCAAATTGCAAACTGCAGAACAAAACAGCCCAAGATGGAAGAATTGTTGAAACTGAAAATTTGGCCTGATGTACTATTTTGGCATATTTTTGTTTTCCGTTCACCATAATTTACTTTCCCAGGGAAATAAACCCATGCAAAACTGTTGAAGTACATGTACCTCTTCCAACGGCTCCAAAACCCACAGTTTCATGGTTATAGTTCGATAAAGGTTCCATTGAACTGAAATGCTGTGCCCCCATGCAACAATGAAAAAAGAATATCATTAAGTTAGCATATTTTTCGTGTATAAGACAACCCCTATTTTTTGAGCCCAAAATTAAGAAATCAATATTTTAAACATCAAATAAAACTTTGATATTTAAGAGGTGACTTCTGAAGAGAACAACACACTTCTGATTTTCATGCCTCCCCTGTGCTACGGTACTCTGTAAAGTTAATGGCTCCATAGTGCATGCTGGGAGACTACAGCTCCCACAATACAGCAGGTAGTGTGAGGGCATGCTGGGACATATCAGTAGTATTCACTCTGCTTACTGATTCCCATTTCCTCCCCCATGAATATTAATCAGAAAGCAAGACCTATCTGAGGTGGAGCATACCTTAATATGGCTGCCCCTTTTATGGTGTGGCATGTCTCTGGAGCTCTGTTGGTGGTAAGTGCTGATGTCTGCTGCAGCTCCCACACATATAGGGACCTCTTCCTCCTTGCCACAGGATTCAGAAGTGGATTAGCAAGAGCAAGGCTTGATATGTGAGTCCCGCGCACAAGTGTATTTTTTTTTAACCCATACAGTGACATGCCATGTTTAAGACGACACCCAATTTTAGACTAAAAACTATTTTTAGGAAACAAACAAACAAAACAGTCATATACATGGAAAAATATGGTAAGTAATGTTACTGTACAAGATCCAGGGGAGATTGTAGACACTTTCTTAATATTCCAACTAAGCTGCAGCCAAACAGGGGGGCCGCAGCACAATATGTAGATAAAAATGGCAGTGTGCTCAAAGTAGTATCCATAAGCAGACTTTATATGTGTCAAGGTTAAAACAATGCTAGAGCTCTTCTATTGAACCTTTATCAAGCCAGGACTGTAGCTGCAACCCATCTTTTTAAATATATCTTTGTAAACATACATGACTGGTCACTTACACATATAAATCACATATAAAAAGGCACACATATTACTCTTTTAAATTCACACCATTAATTTCTATTTTATCTTCAAAAAAGGGGTGGTGTGATGTCTCCCAGTCTGAATGCAGTGACAGTTTACTAGACCGTTGATAAAGTCCTCCTGCATAGTGGGGCATTCCCTACCTCCTGCAACAAATATAGGGGACTGACAACAAAACTGTTTATATAAGCAGTCTGATGCACAGAACACAATGCGGAATGCGGGGAAAAAACATACAATTTATAGGTGTCTTAAAATGGCTGCAGATACTGCTATATTATTATTTCAAATAAAACGTGTATTTGGATAGTAGTTATTATATTGCTGATAGTTGATGAAAATGAGCTATAGCAAATTAATAATGTGGGGCTTTACTTGGTGGAAGATCTTTAATGGATCTCTTGTTGTCAAAAGCATTTATTTATCTTCCGATAAGGAAGAGGAGGTTATAACTCCAAGGACCATATTACAATTCTAAGGAAAATACCCAAGTTAGTATCTTGCAAAAAAAAAAAAAGGATACCCAGCTATAGTAACATCCATCAGATTAAAAGTCTCCATGAAACCGTTTGGATTCATTAAAACTTGCAAAAAATCCATCGGGTGCTTCGGGAACATTTGGTGCTAAGGAATATTTATAATTTAGTTTCATAATTTTAGAGTCAAAGGCATACCTTGCTCATGGTGGTTTTTCCTTAGTCTCTTAAGGATAATAATCAAAGACTATGTAAAAATAAATAAAAATCAGACATTGCAGAACCCCTGCTAGGATTGCATAAATTGGAAGGGGATGATCACGTACAAGCAGTGTGTCCTCACAGCCCTGTGACAGCAGGAATGTCCTGATTATAGGTCAGTCATTCAATTATATTTCAAACAGAAGGCACACAGCACGGCCAACTACAGCAGATGTCAATGATATGTCATTCACATTTTACAATAATTCAAATTTAAAGCCATCAAGAATGCAAATTTTAAACCATCTCAATAATTGGGAACCAATTTTATACAAGAGATTAAGAGTATTAAGGTAAAAGTGCACCCGGGGGCCGCTCGGCACCAACACAACTTCATTTAGATGAAGTTGTTTGGTGCTCAGAGTGTCCCTTTAAGCTTAGTCCACAAAAATAGTGTATCCACTTACAATTGTAACCATTTGGTTAAACACAATTGATATAATGTATCAGCTAAAGTCTGCAGCCTCCTGCCTATAATAAACAGGAGTCACTAGGACCTGGCTGTCAAATGATATAGTACTAAAATACATAGGGATCAAATTACGTCAAAGACCACTCAGACAGTTCTATGGTAGTGTCAACAGATGATCTATGGATCTGTAAAGAAGAAAATAACATCGATTGTGCTCTCCGTTTTGAACAGTTATTGAGAATAACACAGATTTAAAACACTCACAGTAAGGAGTTCTGATCTACCTTCACAAATCGGTTAACTGAGGGATTGTTGGAAGTGGGCAGCAGCAGTAAAGGACTGTGTTCCCTGACAAGTGTCTCGATCACAGCAGTATTGTGAGGGTTTTTAATCTATGTTTTAATATCAATAAATATTCAAAACAAAGAGCACTATGGATCTGATAACGTACTAAAACAGTGATTAGATCCCTATGTATTTTAGTACTTTATAATTTGACAGCCAATCCCTAAAACAGGAGCCTGCAGCTTTTTGCTGATACATTATATCAAGTGTGTTTAACCAAGTGGTTACAATTGTAAGTTGATACATTATTTTTCTGGCGTTAGCTTAACCCCTTAAGGACACATAACATGTGTGACATGTCATGATTCCCTTTTATTCCAGAAGTTTGGTCCTTAAGGGATTAAAGGGAAACTATAGTGCCAGGAAAACAAATTTGTTTTACTGGCACTATAGCTCTCTATAGTGGCAATGGCCTCGCTCGCATTGGTATTTCCCCCATAGGAAAGCATGTATAATATTTTCCTATAGGGTTTTACATTTTGCTGGATGTCCTCATGTATAGCATGAGGACGTCCAGCGTCAGTTAGGTGACCAAAAGTTACCTAACAGCCCGGAAGTCCCACTAGTGGCTGTCTGGTAGACAGCCTCTAGAGGTGGAGTTAACCCTCAAAACTGCAATAATTATCTTTCCAGGGTTAAGGGACCTGGGACTATGCACCAGGCCACTTCAATCAGCTGAAGTGGTTTGGCTGCCTATAGTGTCCCTTTAACTATCTTTGGTGTTTTCGTATGTATATGGATTTATTCATCTGTATATAATAATAAACAGACCTGATGTAACAATCTAAATTTTTTCATATCACTTTTTCTCAGTAGGCATTTGTTGATTTGATGTGAATACAAATTTTACAGAGGTATATGCTGTAGCTATATATGATATAATCTATGAATATACTGTCTGTACAGTATGCTAAGTATATGACGCTTATAGAGGTATATACTGAACATATATTATAGAGTATATAAATATGCTGTTTTTTAAGTAAGCTATGAATAGCTTACACAGGTATTAACCATACATATAAGATATATTATATAAATATAGTAGAGTATTCAGAATACAGAATGTTACAGATATGAATCATATAGGTATATACTGTATATATGATAAAATAAATATGATGTTTAACAATAAGCCTCTTACTTTAGTAGATATTGTCCATTCATATGATACATAATTAAATATATTGTCTATACAGTAGGCTATGAATATGACTCTTACGGAGGTAGATATTGTAAATAATACTGTTGGCCATACAATATGCTATGACTCTTACAGAGGTGTATGTACTGTATATTTTAATATACATATATTGTCTATACACTATGCTATGACTCTACCAGGTAGATACTGTAAATAATTATGATATATATATATATATATATATATATACACATACACACACACACACACATACATATACACACATTGTGCTATGTTTATTACAGAGGTAGATACTGTAAATAATTGTATTATAAATATATTGTCTATACAGTAAGTTATGACTCTACCAGAGGTAGATACTGTACATAATTGTGACGTAATATATAAATGTACACGGTATGCTATAATTATTACAGAGGTAGATACTGTAAATATAATATAAATATACACAGTATGCTATGATGACAGAGGTAGATACTGTAAATATGATAGCTATACATTATGGTATGACAGATGTATATACTGTAAATCTAATATATATATACACAGTATGCTATGAGAGGTAGATACTGTAAATAAATATAATATATAGACAGTATACTATGAGAGGTATATACTGTAAATATAATACAATATATACACAGTATGCTATGACAGAGGTAGATACTGTAAATATATGATATCTATACATTATGCTATGACAGAGGTATATACTGTAAACATAATAATATATATATATATATATATATATATATATATATATATATATAGACACACAGACACAGTATGCTATGACAGAGGTAGATACTGTAAATAAACGTAATATTTATACACAGTATGCTATCAGAGGTAGATACTGTAAATAAATATAATTTATACACAGTATGCTATGAGAGGTAGATACTGTATATAAATATAATTTATACACAGTATGCTGAGGTAGATACTGTAAATAGAATATAATATGATATCTATACATTATGCTATGAGAGGTATATATTGTAAATATATCTATACACAGTATGCTATTATTATTGTCTGTGCTGTGTGCTCGGTAAGCAGATACACTATGTATATATAGTATATACTGTAAATATAATATAATATATACACAGTATGCTATGACAGAGGTATATACTGTAAATATAATACAATATATATATATATATATACACAGTATGCTATGACAGAGGTAGATACTGTAAATATAATATCTATACACAGTATTCTATGATTATTATCAATGTCTGTGCTGTGTGCTCGGTAAGCAGATACACTATGTATATATACAGTATGGTATAGTATAGTATGGTATAGTATGGTATGGTATGGTACGATATGGTACGGTATGTTCTTACAGGGCGGGTGTCACAGTGATGCCGTGCTGGGGGTCATGTCCTGTCTCCCGGTGCAGTGTGTCCGCCGGCCGGCCGGCCCTCTCCTATTATCTCCCTGAGCGACCAGTCACAATAAAGCAGTGCATGATGGGAAGGCTGCCGGTGCCCGCACGTCGCTCACAGCAGGCTGAGCACTCGGTATGATAGAGGGGGGAGGTGGGGGCTCGGTGTGGAGGAGCGGCTCTCCGTGTCACGGGGCTCCCGGTTTGTGCCGGTTTATTGTTGGTTCACGGGGAACACGCAAGCGCAGGGCTCAGGTGCAATGCGGTCACCATAGCAACGGGTTGAACCAGGAAGACCGACCAGGGGGTATTGTTACTAGGTCTGTCGCTGGGGGCTGCAGTGAGCAGCATTCCAGGACTGATAGACAATAGACTGATGGACTGCACTCATTGAGATGCTCTCTGAGGCTCCATGGCTATGCTTGTACTGACAGGTCTATTCACTCAGTACGAATTCAAAGCGACACTATAGGGACACTATAGTCACCAAAACAACTTTAGTTTAAAGGAACTGGTTTAGTGTATAGATCATGCCCTGCAGTCTCACTGCTCAATTCACTGTCATTTAGGAGTTAAACCACTTTTGTTTCTGTTTATGCAGCGATAGCCACATCACCCCGACTGTGACTGACATAGCCTGCGTGAAAAAAAAATGGTTTCATTTTCAATCAGATATTACACTACTTTAGATGTTTTTATTTTCTGCTTTCTAAATTGAACTTTAATTACATACAGGAGGCTCTAGAAGAGTATTAGAGCAGGAGATACAAAATTCTTAAAGGAACACTATAAGGTCAGGAACACAAACATGTATTTCTACCCTAATGTGTTAAAACACCATCAAGCCCCCTTAAAAATAGTAAAATATGACCTTTATTCCAGTCTGCTGCTGCTGGCTCTGCCCCTGATCTGCCTGCATGGCTGACATTATCAGAAGTGTTGATCAAAGCCAATCACAATGTTTTCCTATAGCAGAGCATTGAATTGGCTGAGCTTGTCAGGGAGGCAGATTGGGGGCAGAGCCAGCACAAGCAAACACAGCCCTAGCCAATCAGCATCTCCTCCTAAAGAATCAATGCATCTCTATGAGGAAAACTCAGTGTCACTGAATGGCAATGCTGCACACTGTGCAGCGCTGCCCCAGGAAGCACCTCTAGCTTTCATCTGAGAAGTGTCCAGTGAAGATGTGTCCTTAGACTGTAATGTAAATACTGTATTTTCTCACAAAATACAGTGTTTACTGCAAAAAGCCTGCAGGGAATGATTATACTCACCAGAAGAAATACAATAACCTGTAGTTTTTCTGGTGACTATAGTGTTCCTTCAATTAACCAGAACGTGCCATAAAGAAGTGTAAACATTAGAGCTCACTTTTTAGGAAGTGTTTAGGAAGGCTGAGTAAGTCACATGCAGTGAGGTAAGTCACATGCAGGGAGGTGTGACCAGGGCCGGACTGGGGATTCCAAAGCAGCCCTGGAAAAAAAATAAAAAAATCTATGCCAGCCCCATAAGTCATTGCGCCATATATTGTCGCATGTATGTCTTGCCACCCTAGATGATTGATATTTATATCACACACCATGACAGACAGAGACACACACACCATGACATAGACAGACACACTCAATGACACAGACACACATTGCATGACACAGACAGAGACACACACATCATGACACAGACGCACACACCATGACACAGACACACGCACACAATGACACAGACACACACATACACTCACACTGACACACATAATTGCTACCTGTGTGCTGGCATGGGTAGCTCTGATGGCGGACGAATGGGGGAGCTGGCTCTTCTTGCGACCGCAGAGGGAGCTCTTTTGGCGGCCGCAGGGGGAGCTGACTGTTCTGTCTCTGCTCCCCCTCCCCAGCGCACTGCTTAATGAGACCGGGGCCGGAATATGACATCATATTCCGGCCCCGGTCTCATTAAGCGGCGTGCTGGGGAGGGGGAGCAGAGACAGAACAGCCAGTTCCCCCTGCGGCCGCCAAAAGAGCTCCCTCTGCGGCCGCAAGAAGAGCCAGCTGTCTGCCCGGCCCCAGGTGCCGACGGCCCACCGGGAAATTTCCTGGTATCCCGGTGGGCCAGTCCGGCCCTGGGTGTGACTATGGCTGGGTAAACAAATGTCCATATTGTGTTAAGCCCACCACTACATCACAGTACCCCAATATCGGTGGGTCCTACACTCATTTTAACATGGGAGACTGCAATGCTTATTGTTTAAACTGCTTCCAGATACTTTCCTCAATTTATCTGTGGTCACCTCCAAAGAGGCACCAATAGTAGGCTACTACAGTGGATGGGAGGGGTTCTCAGCCAAATAGAAATCTGGTCTGGATTCCAAATCAACACAGAAAAAAGGGGAATTAGGGGCACAACTGGAGTACAGATTTCTAAGTAGTGGTGCTGCCGTAAATTCTATAATACATACAAAATACATTTTAGGGAACAGCACACACACAGGTAGCCATGTAAAATGTAAAACTAATTTTGTGTGTGCTGTTCCTAATCTGTATTTTGTATATAGTTTGGTCTTTATGACAATACCAATATATCCATTAACCCCTTAATGACGAATGACTTACCCGGTCCGTCATGCTGGGAAAGCACTTAACGCCAGACGACGGACCAGGTCCGTCATGCACTAAAGTGAACCCCAGATCGCCGCGGGGTTAACGCTCAGAGCGAGCACATGTGCTGCAGGGACTTCTGATCCGCCTCCCTTCTCTTCCACGTTCTGTGTGAAGTGCAGGGAAATGGATCACTGCTGATCTTCTCCTTGTTAAAAAAATAAAGTGAGTTTAAAATCCCACTCCCTTTACCCATTTTAAATAAAACTTAACCCCTTCCCTGCCAATTGATCACTGACTACAGTGAACAATTGGCAGGGACTACATTTTACTGTGATCTGATTTTTTTTTTTTTAACTCCTGAGGGTCAACTTTTATTTTTTGTAACCCTCAAGGGTTACATTTATTTTATTAATTAATTTAAATATATTAAAATTATATATTTAGCTAGCTGGGGTGGATGGAAGTTCGTGGGGAATTGGGGTATTTGGTGTTAGGCTAGCTAGGGGTTAACGTTAAAAAAGTTTTATAAAGTAAAAAAAAAGTTTTAATAACGTTTAAAAAAAGTTTAAAAAATCCCAACCCCCTTTTACACAGTCCTAATACAAATTAACCCCTTCTCTGCCAGTTACTCACTACCTATAGTGATCAAAATATAGATCACAGTATTATACTGTTATCCGATTTTTTTAAAACCCCTTAGGGTTAGCTTTAAATTTTTTTAACCCTCAGGGGCTCAATTTATTTAATTTAATTAATTTAATTAATTAATTTAAATATTTTAAAATGATATATTTTGCTATCTGGGGTGGGTGGGAGTTATGGGAAATTGGGGAATTTACGGTTAGTGCTGCTTACTGCTAGTTAGGGGCTCACGGTAAAAAAAGTTTATAAAAAAAAGTTAAATGTGTAAAAAAGTTTTAAGAAAGTTTAAGAAAGTTTTAAAAATGTAACGAGCAAAAACAAAGTTTAAAAACTAGTTTTAAAAAGTAAAAAAGGTTTAAAAAGTAAAAAAATAAATGTAAAAATGCTCATTACCACTATACCTGGAACAAATTAGAGAAAAAAATGATCCCACGCTAAGGTTCAAAAAATGCCTTTTGAATTACCCTGGGGTGTATTCTTTAATAAATTGTATGTGTTTGTGGGGAAGTTTGAATAACCAACCAGCTAAACTACTCCGAAATGGATCATGGACACAGCGTAAAACTTCAAAGTTAGAAAAAAACTGAAGGCTGCGTCTCAAATGTGCCCCTTCGACATCCACATATACCTGGCAAAGGTACATATGGGGGTATTGCTGTACTCAGACGACATAGCGGAGCAACTTATATAGTATTATACAGTCGTAGCACATATAAGGTTTGCAAAATATACTGTGCAAACTCACTTTGTGTGTCAAAAAGGCAGAAAAAATGCTTATTACCACTACACTTGGTACAACCTAGCAGAAAAATTATCCCACGCCAAGGTTCAAAATATAAATGGATACAAGGAAAGGTGATTTTGCGCACACAATGGATGCTTGAGGAGATAATCTGCAATATAGACAGCTATCATAGGGCAATATGCATAAACCAATAACTGGTATAGAAAATAATTAGGAGCACTCAATTTAGAGAGCCATATGAGTTGGCTCTCTACTGTAGTAGCATGTACAGTAGAGAGCCGACTCATATGGCTCTCTAAAGTGTGAGTGCTCTTAATTATTTCCTATACCAGTTATTGGTTTATGCATATATGTGTATTAGGGAGGATAGATAGGTGGGAGCATTACGTAGAGATTTGAAAGCAAAAACCAGAATTTTAAATTGAGCCCTGTATCTTACAGGAAGCCAATGTAGGCAGTGGCGTACACACAATCCATGGGGCCCCGGTGCGAAACTGATCCTTGGGGCCCCCCCATACTGAGACATACACATACAGAGACACAGACACACATACATACAGAGACACAGACACACATACATATAGAGACACACGGATTGTGTGTACGCCACTGCATATATAGACACACACGTACATACAGAGACACAGACAAACATACAGACAGACACACACACATACATACAGAGACATACACATACAGAGACACAGACACACATACAGATTGTGTGACACACATACATACAGAGACACAGACACACACACACACATACAGAGAAACACACACACATACAAAATGTTTCCTACCTTATTACTTTCCCTGGGGTCCAGTGGTGGCTCAGCCTGATGGGAGTCAAAGTTTCCACTCTGACTCCCTCTTCCTCCTTCCTCCCGCGCGGGCTCACAGTATGCTGGGAGGAGTGACCGGGGAATCACTTCTTCCCAGCAGTGATGATGTAATCACAGGGGGCCGGTCGCGCTCTTAAAGCGCCCAGCGCAGACCAGGCCCCCTCACAATCCATATCCATCGGGTGGCCATGACAGCATGGGCCACCCGATGGACCCCTCCATGTGCGGCCCCGGTGGTTTGCCGCAAAATGTGGCAGCAGGCCTGGTACCCGGTCGCAGGGGTCCGCAGGGCGGCCGGGCCCCATGGAGTGCCGGGCCCGGTCACAGCTGCAACACCCGGGGACCGCGGTATGTACGCCGCTGAATGTAGGGACTGAAAGAAGGGTGAGGCGTGGGCGGACAGGAAGATGAGCCTTGCCGCCGCATTCAT